GTCTTTTATATTTGGGCTGGTTAAATTAATTTCGGGCTACCAAAATCTGAAGAGTGCCTGCCCAAAGCGCTACCAGGAATTTTGAAATTTTGCAAGCCCTGAATATATATTGTGTTATTGGTTTTATTTTTCTCTCACCTTGTAATCTCTTTGGCAGATCAACCGATTCATGTCGGTGAACAAGCTGAAATATTTCTTTGCAGTCGATACCAAATATGTATTGAAGAAACTGTTGCTTCTCATGTTCCCATACACGCATCAGGTAAAATATTAATTCCTGAATCAAAGAGGTGCCTTCTAAAAATCGAAATAATTAAAACAGTAAGACTTATTTTTATATATTTTAATATAATAATTTATACATTTGACTCACCCCTTTTCTTACAAATGTTTTAAAGGCTGAGATGTGATGTTTATAATTTTATGAGATTGTTTTTGTGAAAACCTGTATCTGAACTGTAAATCATGTCATTTTACGGTTTATTATGTTACCATAGACACTGCCCAACTCCACTCATACGGTGTTAATTTTATTTGTGCAGGTCTTAAAAAGGGTCATAAAAAGGCTTAAATTGATTTTTATAAATTCTGGAGACACCCTGTAAATAGTGAAATAAAATTCTTTCCTTGATATGTGTTTAATTAATGTTTATTAACATTATTTTCTCATTTGAATTAGAATTGCTTTTTTACTGGACATTTTTAACTCTAAATATTCTTAGATATAAAGTTAATTAAATATAGCGTAAAAAGTTAATTTAAACAGTTTTAATATCTTGTCACTTTATTATAGATTAAATTGTCAAACTTGTCTTGCATCACCCAGATGCATTCAGAAAGCCTAATTTATAGCAAAATTTAAAAGGTTTATCTTGCACTTCTTTGAGCAGGTTCAATATAAACTTTTTTTTTCTTTATGTATACTATGATATCATCAGGACTGGGAAGTACGTTACCACAGAGACACTCCTCTCATACCACGCCATGATGTCAATGCTCCAGATCTCTACATACCCAGTAATTCATTTTTTATTATTTATTCCGAGCAACCTGACAAATCGTTGATCTGTACTTACAACATTAATTATTAAAAATCTTGCAAATAATTTTAGAGAGCTTCGTTATGCCCCAAAATAAACATTAAGCAAGCAATATGTGAATGCAAACTCAAGCTCAACTTTTGTGCATATTTGTGCCATTTTGTTGTTGCAAGTGCCACCGTAGTGGACTTTTCCATAAACTCTCTTCTCCTACAGCCAGTTTTCTCTTTCAGGTTAGCCAGGTCACATTTCGGCTAATGACAAAGCTTCTGTTGAAGAGAATCTTGCTGAGCAAGTTAGATTTTATAAACATGTTTATAGCTAGCTACCTGAAAAATAACTCATCCTAATGGTACAGACATTTGAAGGGAACTCTATTGCTCCCTTGAGTATCAGGATTTAATGCAAGAATGCACATTAAGTATGAGCAACAGTACCATGCTTGCAATGCATTTGCCATGTAGTAATATCAGAAACCATGTATCTGTGAATTTATAGAGATGTTGCATTGTCTGCACTTGAATCTTGTTTTCATCATCAAACTTTTCTTTTGTTTTCATCTAGCAATGGCTTTTATCACCTACATTTTACTGGCTGGAATGGCTTTAGGAATCCAGAAACGGTGAGCAATTGTGGTTTTTATGGGAGAAACACATTGACGTTTCCACTTTATGGACGTGCTTGGACATCCTAAAGGATTCATATAAAAATACATTTAATAAAATAATCTATTAGTTCACTAGCCTAAATTTGTTCAATAACCCTGATGTGACCCTACTAAATGGGATTCATAACAGTACCTTCGGCACTGCCACATTCAAGTAATTTTTTTGACAGTGTTGTACGTGAGACTTGTATATGATTAATAATTTTTAACGTTTTCTCTACATGTTCAGGTTCAGTCCAGAGGTTCTGGGTTTGTGTGCAAGCACGGCTCTGGTTTGGATCATCATTGAAGTTCTTGTCATGTTGCTCAGTCTTTACTTGCTCACAGTTCACACAGACCTCTCAATGTTTGACCTTGTTGCTTACAGTGGATACAAATATGTGGGGTATGTTTCGATTGGATGTTATAATGTATTTTACACGCCTGTGTAAGAGCCACATTTGTAAGTGGATCATGTGTTTTTATATTGCATTAAAGATGCCTTTTTTATTTTTTCTTTGTTTTTTTAGGATGATTTTCACAGTGTTGTGTGGACTGCTCTTTGGCAGTGATGGTTACTTCGTTGCTCTTGCTTGGTCTTCTTGTGCCCTCATGTTTTTTATTGTGAGTTTTGTTTAGGAATGTATGTACATATGGTGCTTACACATTTACGTTTTTCAACACATTTCTCCAATTAATTTCTTACTTTGTTTTTTTTTTCAGGTTCGTTCTCTAAAAATGAAGATCCTGTCTTCATTCTCAGCAGACTCCATGGGTGCAGGAGCGAGTGCCAAGCCCCAATTTCGCTTGTACATAACCCTGGCATCAGCTGCGTTTCAGCCAATCATCATTTACTGGCTCACTGCTCATTTGGTCAGATGACCTACAGTATTTAAACTATGAAGGAACTTTCAAATGACAATGCTGGACTGGGATGGTTTCATTTTTTAGCATTGTTACAGAAAAGTGGCTTACCTTGATTGTGTTTTTATCCACAAAGGATTTATGTGGTCTGATCTTCAACATTGGCTCCGTCAGCAATGTCATCTGCAGATCAGTTGTTGAAAATATAATTTAATATTTTTACAGGATTGTGTTTTTCTGTTGTTGAAAATGGGAAAATAACAGTTTGACTGCTCTTGTGTCTTCGCCATGCTGCTTTAGTGTCACAAAATCCAGACTTAATTTTAAGAGGCATGCTGATTTATCTGCCCTGTGTTGTGATTCTTGTGTGATGTGCAATTGGTGAACACATGATCAACTCAAGTGTCCTTCTTTCTTCTGTGCATGAACAGCTGTTTTCTTCTTTATAGCAAAATAAATCCCATAAATTAGACTTTTAAGGTGTGTAGAATTGTTTTCATCTTGTCAATTAAAATATCTGATATGTTATACGATTATATAGCCTACAAACAATACGTGTGATGTGACGTTTGAGTTTAGCTGCTGTAAACACTGGGGCAAAACCCTGCAAGCGTGTACAAAAGATAAACATAAGATGCTTTTCCCCAAAATAAAATTTCATCCAGCCCTCGCCGAGTGTCTCTTTAAGGAGGGGTCGCAGGAGGCGCGCCGGCTGCAAAGCGTCCTTCTGGTTTCCAAGGAAACGTGGGAAAGGACAGAACGCAGACAGGACGGGACAGTGCGAGACACCGCTTCTTTTACAGATATTTTAACAGAAACTTAAAACTTATAAAGAGAACAGAATCGGACATTGGATGCTATAAATTCATCCCTATACTTATTTAGGTAAGTTTTTCGCTCTTCTTTTGCTCTTTTGTCTTGACATAAAGGCTTCACGCAAGCATGAATGCTTGGGCAATTATTCTAAACGTAACTTAATATTCTTGCGCCATTTTCTAAGGTGTATAGACCATGTGGCTTGGCTTTCTGTGTCTGTCATGTGATAGAATAATCGATTTTTTTTTTAAATTCTCTTTAAGTTTGTTTAGCGCCACTTGAATGGTGTGTTATTTCTCGGTTGACTACCTCGCTCAATCATTTACTCGGTTGTGCAGTCAGTATTGAAAAAAGAAATGATGCTTCTATGGCAGGGCACTGACTTTTATGGCCTCCTTCCTGGGTTTAATAACTTAACTGTTCGTTTATTTGTGAAAACGGCTTCTCTGTGTGCTTGCTTAAAAAAAGCATTTTATAGGACATGTTTGAATGTGTGTACATATGCACAATGCATTAATATTACTCTGTCTGTGTGTTTCTGCAGTTCAACAGGTGAATGTGTGGACCTGTATCTTGCAGCTGGGAGACAGATGGAGAAACACACACAAGCACTGCCACCCCATTCTCCTCTACATTCCCCTCAAAGTGATTCAGAAGCTCTGTCTCGATCCCCCTCTCTTCCACAGCCTGCCGCTGTTCAGCTCGCGTCCCTCCCTTCCTCCCTAACCAGCCCAGCCTCCTATCTATACTCAGCCCCTCGGGCATCTGGAGGGTCACACTGCCTCAGTCCCTCCACAGTATCTGACCAGGATGACCTGACCTGCCTCAGCTGGCTGCATCAAAGAGGGAACCTGTTGCCCCTGCAGCCACTGCCTAAAATCACAGCACTGCCCCAGACATTAGACCCGATTCCTGTCCAACAGCTGCCTTCCTCCCCTACCAAACCCCCGTACTCTTTTAGCAGCCTCATCTTCATGGCAATAGAAGATTCGCCTGAGAAGAGGCTTCCTGTGAAAGGTATTTATCAGTGGATTGTCGACAACTTCCCCTATTATAGAGAGGCTCCCGGTGGATGGAGGAACTCGGTCCGACACAACTTGTCCTTGAGCAAGAGCTTCCAACGAATACATCGAGACAAGAGTCAAGTGCGTCAGACTTCCAGTCAGAACTTTCTGATCTCTTAGTCTATATTGATTAGTTGTTTAATGAAATATTCCTGCTTTGTTTTGCAGTCCGTTGGAAAGGGCTCATTATGGCGTGTTTGTCCAGAATATCGGCCAGCTCTTCTGGAAGTTCTTAGAAAAACACATTATTGTCATCGTACCAACAGCAGCTTGCTGAACAAGCGTGTTTTGTGAGTTTGATTTGCTTTCTTATGACACACCACCTCCATAAGGCTTAATATTGAATTATCTGATGTATCATGCACAACGTCAGAGGAACAAATGACTCTTTCTTTGTGATACTGATACATGCATATCTGACCTCCATTCTGAACAGGTTGGAGGTGGCTGATAATGGGCTGAACACCTTGGGTGATACCATGGAAATTTCAGGTAAGCCACAACTGAATACAACTTTACTCTAACTCTAGTTAAATTTAACATACTGGAATGAGGATGCTTTAAAGTTTTTTTTTAAAGATCATTATTTTGTGTATTTGGTGTAACAGAATATGTTGACATGCTTTAATGTTCAAAAAACACATTATTTTTCAAATACTGTACATTATTGTAGGTCCTCTATGCCCCGCCTCTCTCAAACGCTTCGTTTTCTACAAAGTCCCTCCTTCCGACAAGCGCAGTCTGCTCTGATTGGCCAGCTGACCCAGTGCATTGTGATTGGCCGAACACCGCAAGCACGCGTCGGAAATGTAACGCCCCTTACCATAATCGCGAGCTTCATCTTTCAAAATAAATGTAAAGACAGTATATAATGTCATTAGTTTTACCATCAGTTCAAGCACGAAAGGGGAACAGACACAGTAATGATGCAGTACACAAGCCGCGGTTAAGACAGCTGACTCTACTGTGATGTGACGCTGTCTCTCTCTCTCACACACACACACACACACACACACACGATGCGCAAAACTCCGCATTTGAACAGTCAATAGCAAATACTTAAACTAGTAACAAAACATACTTACAGTCGCTGATTCAGAAGCGCCAGATTGTCATAGCAAAGTCAGAATTACTTCCTCTCCTAGGTTCATGAAACGGTCATCCATTAAAATGCATTGCTGTTCTGTTGTAAGTAATCTTAAAGATTCCTAAATGCATCTACTTTCAGAAGGCCAAATAAAGTGATTTTGCTTTTGCCTAGAAACACAGCGTCTCCCTGACATGCTGCTTCAACACTAACTGCGGTTACTGAAGCCACGCCTTCTTTCTTTGCATGCACATTTGGGCGCATTATGCAAATATTCCCACATAGTGACCTAGATATGTGGGGGCGTGTTAGAACGAGCCGTTTTAGGGGGGTGTGGCAGAGTCTTAACTTTGATAAAGAATATCTCTTTGGTTTTGAGACTTTAGTCTTTGCAACTTCAGGGATCTTATCTATTCACGAACAGCTTGTAACACTCCAAAGAGAAAGGAAAACTTGAAATCGCATCATATGACCCCTTTAACAAAAAGTAAAATTTAATTTAGAGTTCAGCCTTGATTAAAAATGTATCTTTGGTCTCATCTCGTCATACCAACAAACAATCAATTACACATACAACACAACAGACCAAAACACCTAGAATACCATAAAAACAGCACAGTTATAAATAAATACTAAATCTAGCAACATGAAACAGACATGTTAAACAGTTTTTAAAAGACAGTGTAGAAGTATATATACTACTATTCAAAAGTATTTTATGCTCACCTAAGCTGCGTTTATTTGATTAAATGTACAGAAAAAACAGTAATGTTGTGAAATATTATTACAACTTAAAAGAACCGTTTTCTATTTTAATATTTTTTTAAATGTAATTTATTCCTGTGATGCAAAGCTGAATTTTCAGCATCATTACTCCAGTCTTCAGTGTCACATGATCCTTCAGAAATCAATCTAATATGCAGATTTGCTGCTCAAGAAACATTATCAATGTTGAAAATAGTTGTTCTGCCGTGATACATTTTTTTTTAAGATTCTTTGATGAGGAGAAAGTTTATCATCTCATTATGTCATATCATTTATCATATCATTATAAATGTCTTTAACGTCACCTTTAATCAATTTGTGTCCTTGCTGAATGACAGTATTAATTCTTAAAGACCCCAAACTTTTAAATGATAGTGTGTGATATGGTGCTTCTCTTGCATGCACTTTTTTGTTTGCTAGCATTTATCTACTTTTTCCAGACACTGTATGTTTGGGAGCTGTTGTCTTAGTAACGGCCGGACATTACCCTAGCAACCTATAGCCACGTTGACAATAATGGCCTTCCTCTCTATGTCAGGCTGTTTTACTACAGGGTCACTTAAGTAAAGAAGTCTCACATAACAGATGGTTTTCTCTCTTGATTTGCAAAGATCTTTCACCGTACAGTACTAATTAATTAGTAATAATACAGTGACTGGGAATTGTTAGTGTTTTTTGTGTTTTATTCAGAAGAGTGTCACAGAGAGTGACTGGCAAAATTCAGACCCGTTCTTACACTTAAGTTATGTATGGTACATTCCATCACATTAACTGTTCCTTTTCACTGTTCCTCAGATCTAGATTTTCTGTCTTCAAACCCGCCGGGCTCTTTGTCACCAGATCACGAGGAGCTGGTCCCCATGGAGTCTGTGGAACTGACAGAGGTTGCCGGCGAGGATTCAGATAAAGATCCATTGGCAGACAGTGGTTACATTGAGTTACACTATTATCAGTATCAGCAGTATCAGTACCTGGTTCTTCCAGAAGACACTGAGTTGGACCTGGAGACGGTTGAGATACTGCAGCTTGATGCAGAGGCTCAGGAGGCTGCAGGGTCACTGCTTGACCTCGCGGGAGGCAACCACTGAGAGCTTACCTGTGTGCTGTGTACAAGCAAGGAGGGTTAATGGGGAGATGGGGCCACTGTGAGAACTCTAGGCTTGATGTACTATTGGCACTTTATAACTGCCTGAACTTTACTTACTGTCATAAAAGGTGCAACATAAGCAATTCCAAATAATCTAGTGATTTGAAAAGACATTTGTAGGGACTGACAACAGCACTGTGAGGATCCTGTGAGGGTATCCTTGGTTTTAGTGTATAATGGGTAATAAAGCATCTGCAAAATGCTTTCATAAAGAACAAAATATTTATTGTTTATTGTCATGGTTGAAAGGTAATATTTAATGCACTGACTTCCATGCCTTTTTAAGTCCCTTCCATTAAGATTATTCTAAAGATTTGTTGTGTTCAACATTCAAATTAGAGGGATAAATTTCTGATGTGATTTTTTTTAAGAATATACGTTTTTTTTCTTCTTTTTTTTACAGTATGAAATTGTTCAAAATTATGAACATGTTCAAGTATTATTGATATAAACTGCCAGCTGTTAGATTGGGTAGATGGAAAGATTAATATCTAACCCTTATTTATATCTTGTTGATTATTGTCATGCTACAGCATTCTGTAGCTAATAGTTTTCTGTGTAATAAGATGCATGTCATATTTTGCTTTATTGACGTGTTTATTTTATTTTTTTTAGTTTAGTATGTTTAACAGGTTGACGCTAAATAACACTCTGACCCCATCCTCTTCATGTGTAACTCATGTAGTAATAAAGTACTAAAATGTTATGATGAAATCATTGCTGATTTAACCTGTGAGCACTTAGTAATAATTAGCGAGCACTTAGTAGATCGCAGATTGCAACTAGAAGACATTGGGGAATGAATCTGTGAAGTTATTAATGTCTTATGGCTTCATTTATGAAAATGACACGTTTTAACCTTTAGGTAATGGTTGCTCTAGAGTGGCCTCCTCCATTAATGTGGGTAATTGAGAGAAAAAGGCCAGTGTTCTGAATATCTGACCTACCTACTCAAAATGACCTACCAGTAGTTTAACCTGTCATAAGCAAAGTTACAACATAAGGCATAAAAACTGTCTAGGTGCACTACTAATGTAATAGATGTGCCGTAAAAGTGAATAACACCTTGTCAGCCTATCAGGATATGCTGTCACCATAGGTAGACTACCCACAACCCCACCCAATCTGAACCGTATCATTAAAAGGATGTAGTGTGGGTGGGTCAACCTGAGAGGCAGGTCAGATTTTTAGTACACCTTCTATGTATGTGATCTTTTTAAATGTATTAGTATTGCACTCACCCTTACCTACTGGATAATTCGTATTAATTTGACAATTTACTGCCAAAAACGTACATATAAAAGGAAGCAAATAATTATAAAAGTATAAATATTTTTCTTATAGCTTTAGTATGTAGAATCAGCTGATCAAACAGAAATGTCCCTGTAGAAATGTTTCATTTGAGCATGTGCTATAACAAACACATTTAGCTTAAGCTCTGCACACACCAGAAGCTGTTGTGTAATGTAGTAAATAAGATGTGTTCATGGGTGGTTCTTGGTCCTGGCTACACTAAAATTGAAGGCTGCCATACCAGTGTGACTCATTATGGAAAACCTAGGAGACACTCCCTAGATGTCTGGCAAAACCCAAACAAATGTTTTTATTTATTTATTTTTGAAAAAAGAGGGTTAGTATTGCTTGTATCATTTCCATGTTGGCATGAGCTAACGTTTTTAAGTACATTAGCATATCAAGTAAAAACGTGTAAATGTGCGCATAATGTAATCAGAGAGGTGATATTTAATTCATATTAAAACTGAGGATTAAAATATTATTTCACGCTTATAAATCACTAAGCTCAATAATATTTACGTCCTCTGATTGGACCATAACAGCAAAACCCGCTTGTCATGCGAGTCTGCCCTGGGTTCTCTTGGATGTTGTAGTTTTTGTGGCCTACTGACAGTTCGAGTATATTCGAATTCGTTACCCACAAAACTACATTTCCCAGAAACACGCGCGGTGGAACGTTCTTTGACGGACAAAGTTGTGTTTATTAAAACTGAAACGTTCATAATCTCAAACGGAGCCAGTGGAAGGTTTGAAGTGAACAACGAAGGAAAAGGTACTGGAAATGATTGGTTGCTTTTAAAGTCGGTAATGTGTTAACCAACTCAAGACACTTTTAAGATGGCTTACTTTGGATGTTAAGTCCGTTTCTCAAATATGTTGTCGGTTTGATTGAAACTCCTTAATGCTGGGGCGAGGCGATAGTAACTAGCTAGTTTAATATCAGCAAGTTTTATTTTAGATTGTAATCATATACATGCATCTGTTAAGATCTCATCAAACAAACAACTTCTGCTTCATATATGGAAAATATTACATAAAGGATCTGGAACTCAGCCAGTCTGTTGAACAAGGAGAGGAGGTGCCTGCACTAATGTTTCAGATTTACTCATGAATATTTACTATAATTTAATTAGACCCGAACACAGTCTGAATGCTTTTAATAGTTGACATGAGCAAGTTCATATGCTCATTTATGATATTTGACAGAAGTTTCTTAGTGGCAACTCCCACGTTTCTAATTACTACATGCAAAAGCATGCAGTACTGCAAGTGTCTGTAATTATTACATATTATTTTGAGAAACAGCCAGGGATTCCTGACATTTTTCAGCAGGTTTGTCTGCTCCACATCCTTTTTGATTGGTTCCACCTGTGTATTTTATTCCTCAGAGTGTGTTGTTTCACTTGTACACATTTGTGTACAAACTCTTCCACCATATATGCAGATCTCTTTGGTTTTGTTTCTTAAAACGTTTCCACAGCCGTGTTAATTGTACTCATTTGCCCACGAGTGAAAGCAGTCCAAATGATTGAAACAACCAGTCACATTCAAGCCAGGGAATCTGTCAGTGGAGAAGAGCATGCTTGAACCTTTTAACTGGCTTGCCACATCGCAATTTCCCAACAAACCCTGCGTTGCTCGCCAACAGGGCCAGTACTGTCTCAATAATGCCTCCCAGAAATGTGATTTAACACGCTGTCTTTGATATTTCCAAGCAGATATTAACAGCTAACCGTAAAGGTCAAAACTAATTGTGGCATGCACTCGAATTTGAATGTGTGACCTTATTTTATTGCAACCAGTAAGCTGAAACATTTTTATTGTTGCCCACAGTAAGCGTGTGCTATAGGACAGAGGATGAGGGGCGATCCTGGGCCAGTTCAGATCGTGACAGTCAACAAGGAGGATCACTCCTTTAACCTGGATACAAAAGCGCTCAGTCGAATACTGTTGGCACCTGAGGTTCGAGACAAGGATGTGGTGGTCGTGTCTGTCGCCGGTGCCTTCCGAAAAGGGAAAAGTTTCCTTTTGGATTTTATGCTCCGATACATGTATAGGAAGGTCAGAAGGAAAAACAATGAATTTAATATTCAGATCATGTAATGCATCACATGATTTAATTATGAAGGCAAAATTTGCCCAGTTTTAAGATGACACTTTCTAATATAACTGGCTTCCTGGTGGTATGCTGCTCTTGATCAGGAAACCAGGCATATTTATTCCTACTATACATTCACCTCTTATTATTTTGTCCTCTCCAGCCTGGTCAGGACTGGCTTGGGCAGGAGAATGAGCCCCTGACAGGTTTCTCCTGGAGAGGAGGCTCAGAGCCAGAGACCACCGGCATCCAGCTATGGAGTGAAGTTTTTATTGTGCGAAAGAAGGATGGAAGTGAGGTAACAAGCACCCATCAGCAGGCAGCTCACTGTGGTCTTATTCAGAACTGGTTAATGGTTTTACTTCCATTTTTTTTATGGTTTTTGAACATCTGCATTCTTTCAATAATGCAGAGGGTACACCGTAGTCAGAGTTGTGAGTATTGAGAGAGAAATAATGCATTGAAATAATGGGTAACATTTACTAATTATGCGGACACACAAATTTGTGTGTGAAATCTGCATGTGAAAGTTTTCACAAACATAACATGATTCACCAAAAACTTTCACATTACACCAACTAAAAATTGAAAACTTTTTATGCGTTTTGCCAAACCATTTACACAACAACGGCGTTTTTGGGGCCTGAAAACTCAAACATTTGTATCTTTACAAAGTGAACTACTGACCTGGTATGCATCAGCTGGAGCAATTACTGAATTAACATCTAGATTGAACTGCAAGTCATTTCTTTTGGTCATATCCAACTCAATAAATAAATGTTCTAGTGACATGTTATATTTAAGGCTTGTGAGAGAGGCTGGTTCTGTATATGACAATGTGTTGTTAAATACACTCATTAGAAACTTTCAGATTTAGTTGTAATATATGTAATGTTAATAAATGTTACCAAACATAGTTAGGATCAATTATTTGTTGCTTCCTCTGAGGTGATGAGAATCATTAAGTGAAATTCCTGTCACACGGGGAGCATGTTTGAGATATATGGTGTGAAAAAAAACTGAGTTTGAATGAAGAACTAAATGATTAGTATTAGCCAGTTTCAGTTCCCCAGAAATGTATTATGACAGCTGCATTATGAACTTTACTGTCTGATATCTTATCTGGCGGTTCTTGTCCAGTAAGCAGTCTGCACTTGCACAAGCCCTGATTTCAGATTCATAGTAAGTTTGTGGTCGAAATTCTGTCACTTCCCATCAAGATTTTGTCATCTGTGATTCTGGTGAAATGTGTTTAAAGAAAGCATCAGATCACTTTTTCAAAATTCTTGAATCACTTCTGTCACTTTCTCTCTTGAGATTGGAGAACCATTGTACTAAAAATAGTGTTTTGTTTTTCTCTGTAGGTTGCAGTGCTTTTAATGGACACACAAGGAGCGTTTGATTCTCAGTCCACAGTGAAAGATTGCGCCACTATCTTTGCCCTCAGCACCATGACCAGTTCCATCCAGGTTTCTATAATGCATCTCCACAATTTTGCCACAAATGAGTTGAAAGAACACTGGAAATGTATCATCATTCCTATATTTTTTTTTGTAGATTTATAACCTGTCACAGAATATTCAGGAAGATGATCTAATGACAGCTGCATTATGAACTTTACTGTCTGATATCTTATCTGGCGGTTCTTGTCCAGTAAGCAGTCTGCACTTGCACAAGCCCTGATTTCAGATTCATAGTAAGTTTGTGGTCGAAATT